GTCGTTGCTGTTCCGGAAATTCAAGGGCCAGTATAGACAGCTCGCAGCTTATTCCAGAAAAGCGGCTGATTTTCCGGAATAAGTGGCCCAGTGTAGACACAGCCCAAGAGTTTACAAGACCAACTAAGGATGGGGCAGGTTCGGGGGGACGGACATTGTTATCCTCATTTTAGGAATTGGAAACAGAGAGATTAAATCATGTATCCAAGGGCACAGATAAACTATGTAGCAAACCAGGAACCCCTGATACCCAGTGTCCCAGGCCAGTGCTTGCACAAGAGCAGCTGTTCTTCCCAAAGCATAATCACTGCACTCTTCCACAAACCTTCAGCCTCCTTTCAGTCTCACATTCTGATGGGAGGGGCATAGAACTGAAATAGAAATTAGGTATAAAGGTAGTTATAAATACAATAGGCCTCATCTGTTACCAGAGAGATTTCTCATGCCCCTTTAATGAAGCTTTCCCCCTGAAATGTTTACCTCTATACTTTACATTTGTAAATGGCTTAAAAATAAAAAGAGAGTGTCTTCATGATAAAAGGTCTCACAACAGCCCCATAGTCTTTGGGTAGCCTGGTAGTACTGCATATCTTGCCACCTATCCTGCAGCCAATACTCTGGCAAAATCCCAGTTGATTTCAATCAGACTTTTGAATGAAGGCGGTGAGATAGAGACCCTTGTTCTGTTATCACTTATTGAACAATTGGCCTTGTACAAGCTAATTTAAGTTAATACCATATTTGAGTGAAAGGAGGCAGTTACCACATGGTTTCCGTTTCCCTCTGTCCCAGTTGCAAAGCAATTATGATTTGTAGTTTGGACAGTCTCTAATTGGACTTTGATAAAACCTCGTGTTTATCCGTTACAGATAGCTGGCTAACACACAAATTATGGCCTGTTCATGCTTCTGATTGTAGCTTTATTGTAACTGGGTCAGGGGACAAGAGTTTTATAATCAGATCCTCTGACTCAAAAGTTGTATTTCTAGTGTGAGCAAGTTCTTAATAGTTTCAGAGGGATAGCCTGTAACTGAATAAACTTCAAAAACAACAAACAGTCTAGCAGAACCTTTAGTCTAGCAGCAAGTTAGAGACTAACAAAATATGTAGATGCTATCATGAGCTTTGGTGGGCACAACCCACTTCTTCATTAATCCTCGTAGACAAAAAATTAATGGACACAAATCAGATATTCCAAATGGTAAAACACAGAAACCTGTTGGGGGAACATTTTAACTTGCCCAGGCACTCACTAATGGATCTAAAGGTGACAGTATTACTACAAGGCAATTTCAAAAACCAACTGGAGAGAGAAGCTGCAGAATTTGATTTCATTTACAAGTTTGACACCTGCAATAGAGGTTTAAACAAAGACCTTCACTGGATGGCCCGCTACATCCCACACCCTACTGACATAAAAGGACAAGCACCAGGAACTTAGAATCCATTCTATCAGCTTCATTTACCATAGACACTCTAATTGACAATATATTTTTCCCTTCTCTTTTCCTTCCCATTCCCTCTCTTTCTTTGCTATGTATCTGTCCCCTGGACTCCTTAATTTCTTTCATCTGAAGAAGTGGGTTGTTCCCACAAAAGCTCATGATACTGTCTACATGTTTTGTTAAGCCTCTAAGATGCTGCAAGACTATTTGTTGTTTTTTAAAGATCCTTAGTCAAAGTAGGGACTCAAAATTTTAAGTTCTTTCTTAAAACTTGAAGACCACTAACCCCTATTTTCATTTCAACCAGAAAGGACACTGTCTCAACGACTTAATTACCTGCATCCTGCTCCAGAAGCCTTTTAAATCTGCACTTGAAAGGGAATCCTCTGAACTGTCATTCATGCTAAAATTCGACACTCTATGTGTCGGTCTCAACAAAGACACTAACTATCTTACCCATTACAAAGATAGCTTCCCCAATTATCACCTCTAATACCATTAGCTCACAGACATTTACCTTCCTCTCCCCCTCCCCCCGCATCTCCTTTCTGTTCTGAAATGTAATTTGGCCCTTTCATATGTGTTCACTTTTTTTTAATTGTATCCTTTGGTATATATGGTTGTGACTATTTTCTTCCACTATTTGATCTGAGGAAGTGGGTCTGGCCCACGAAAGCTCATCATCTAATAAACCATCTTGTTAGTCTTTAAAGTGCTACATAGTCCTGTATTTTGTCCCTATTTTCATGGTAGTCTTTTACAGTTTAATCAGTTACAATTTAAATATTTTTCCTACAGTGTACATAACTCAAACATGGCAGTAATATGCTGGTGCATGAGAAAATGAAATCAAGGAAAATGACTAGTTTAAATTCACTGTCTCTACCAGTAGTTCTGAACCTTTGTGGGCCGTCTGCGTATTATGTATGGTCCTATGTGGGCCGTCTGCGTATTATGTATTATGAGTATGTCACATGGACTGCAACTGTGTGCTGAGTGGCCTGTGGGCTATGGACTGAGAACCACTAGTCTAATCTGACA